ATTCAGGAATCAGGCCACTCCTATTCAGGAATCAGGCCACTTCTATTCAGTTCCTATTCAGGAAACAAGCCCCTCCTATTCAGGAATCAGACCCCTCCTATTCAGGAGCCAGACCCCTCCTATTCAGGAATCAGACCCCTCCTATTCAGAAATCAAGCCCCTCCTATTCAGGAATCAGATACCTCCTATTTAGGAATCAGGCCACTCCTATTCAGGAATCAGGCCACTCCTATTCAGGAATCAGACCACTCCTATTCAGGATTAGACACCTCCTATCACGGAATCAGCCCCCTCTCCTATTCAGGAATCAGACCCCTCCTATTCAGGAATCAGACCCCTCCTATTCAGGAATCAGGCCACTCCTATTTAGGAATCAGGCCAATCCTATTCAGGAATCAGACCTCTCCTATTCAGGAATCAGACCCCTCCTATTCAGGAATCAGACCCCTCCTATTCAGGAATCAGGCCACTCCTATTTAGGAATCAGACCACTCCTATTCAGGAATCAGACCTCTCCTATTCAGGAATCAGACCGTCCCATTTAGGAATCAGAACGTCCCATTCAGGAATCAGACCCCTCCTATTCAGGAATCAGACCGTCCCATTTAGGAATCAGACCGTCCCATTTAGAAATCAGATCCCTCCTTTGCAGGAATCAGGCCACTCCTATTCAGGAATCAGGCCACTCCTATTCAGGAATCAGGCCACTCCCATTCAGGAATCAGACTCCTCCTATTCATAATTAGACACCTCCTATTCAGGAATCAGACCCCTCCTATTCAGGAAGCAGGCCACTCCCATTCAGGAATCAGGCCACTCCTATTCAGGAATCAGGCCACTCCTATTCAGGAATCAGGCCACTCCCATTCAGGAATCAGACTCCTCCTATTCAGAATTAGACACCTCCTATTCAGGAATCAGACCCCTCCTATTCAGGAATCAGGCCACTCCTATTCAGGAATCAGGCCACTCCTATTCAGGAATCAGGCCACTCTTAATTCAGGAATCAGGCCCCTCCTATTCAGGAAGGCCAGCAAAGATAAAGCCACCATTGAATGAAACATCCCGGATCAAACTTTAATAACAGCTCGAGGAGAAACCATCGGGCGACTTACAGTGAGTTCAAGTTCATCGTTTTCATTCCGGGCAACGAAGGGCCACCATCCTTTCACCCTCTTCTGTTTGAAGATAGAGACCATTGGCAAATCCACCTCGGGTGCCACCATGTCTATGGAGCATTGCTTCGCCGTCTTTGCCCCTCGAGGGAAACGGTTCAAGTCCAACTCGATGGCCCCTGTAGTGGGAAGGAAACAGGACCAATGTAGAAACAGGCGACTCGGGGGAAACTCAAACTGTAAGGAGATAATTATCCACTTCGGGAGCGGAGCAATTATTAACATTCTGCACTTTTGTTAAAATCAGAATTTTTTGTAGAAAACTGTTTAAACCCCCCAAACAATTATATATATATTGTAAAAGCAGACCTATTGTCATCCCAAAACCATCCACAACTCTGCCCCCGGCTATATCTCAAACCTTGTCTCAAAGTATCACCCTAACCGCCCCCTCCGCTCTTCCAAAGACCTCCTGCTTTCCAGCTGCCTCATCAGCTCCTCCCATGCTCGCCTCCAGGACTTCACTAGAGTCTCTCCCATCTCTTGAACTCTTTACCCCAACCTGTTCGTCTGTCTCCCACTCTGACTTGCCTTTAGGCGATCCCTAAAGACTCATCTCTTCAGGGAAGCCCATCCCACCTCAACCTAACCGCTCAACCATCATGTTCTCAAACAATTCATCCCCACAAAGCTACCTCCTCGTGTATCACTTGCCCCTCCCTTTTAGATTGTAAGCCCCTCAGGGGCAGGGCCCTCCTTACCATCTTCTCTTAAATTGTATTGTGATTGTAATGTCTTCCTTATATTGTAAAGTGCTGCGCAGACTGTTGGCGCTATGTAAATCCTGTATAATAATAATATTGATAGTTGCAATTTTATATTGTCCCTGATCCTGTGTTGTCACCCTCTCACATGGACTTCTAATGGAGGCTACATGTGGTCATGCCATAGCATAGCCATGGTCCACTGTTGTCAGCCTCAGGAATCCCACCCAGAGGTTTGCCATGCATTTACTGCTGCTTCACCTAATGCAATGCCATTAAGTTAAGGATTACTTCTACTTTTAAACAGCATCATGCAAGATTTTATTAAAGGACCAGTCTGCTTAAAATGGACATTTCACCTTTTGGTACAGGCCCACAAATATTGGTTGTCCATCAGCTTCTTTAATCTCCCTCCCTAAATGTCTGCCCTGCTTTGAAAACTCGCTCTTACTGCTGCAGTAGAAAGGGTCTCATTCTAAACCAATAGGGGGGTGTAATGTCTCTTTGTAATGGCGGCATGATGTAACCTGGAAACTTACAAAGTTACATAGTATTTGAGGTTGAATAAAGACATAAGTCCATCAAGTCCAATGCGTGTATGCATTTGGTTCTGCTGATGTGTATGCGTGTGTATGAGTCCATGTGTGATCTTGTTCTTAAGGAGTACCTGTACCCTTGTATGTTATGGTCTCCAAGGAAATCGTCCAAGAGCTTCTTGAATGATTCCACACTCTCAGCTGAAATCACCGCCTGTGGCAGAGAGTTCCAGACCCTAACCGATCTAACTGAGAAGAACCCCCTGCGCCCCTTGTGCTGAAATTTTTTCTCCACCAATTTTAGGTGGTGGCCTCTAGTCTTTGTTATGGGGTTAACTGTAAAGAGTTTGTTGCTAATGTTGCTCCCACCATTGAACATCTTGTACATGAAAATCATATCCCCCCTTAATCTCCTTACTTCCAGCGAGAACATATTTAAATTTAGTAAATGGTCCTCCAGCCCCTTAATTAGTTTGGTTGCCCTCCGCTGGACTCTTTCCAGCTCAAGGACATCTTTTCTGTGGACTGGTGACCAAAACTGGACCGCGTACTCCAGATGAGGCCGAACCAGCGAAGTGGCAAAATTATAGACTTGTCCCTACAATACACCCCCTTCTTAATACAGGACAAAACCCTACTAGCTTTGTTTACAGCAGCCTGGCACTGCGAGCTGTTATTCAATCTGTAGTCTACAATGACCCCCAACTTGACCACAGATCTTCATCACAGGTATCCCTAAACCTCCCTCAGCTTGTCATAAAATAATTTTTATCACTTTTCAGAAGATTGCCTTCCATGGACTGTGTCTATGTAAGCATGACATGGTCCATGTTCAGCACAATACACACAATTTTTCACCCTCAGTACAGTTTACATTATGTATTGTACAGTCGTACCCAGGAAGTCATCAGCAGAGAAGTGGTCGGCGTCCCAGACCTGTAGAGTGAGGCGTGCCGGTATCTTGTACTCCGTCTCGTCCCAGGAGAACATGGACTCCTTCTTGGAGATGACAATCTTCTCTTCGGCCATCAGATAATCAAATGGGAACATAAACCTCCAGTTAAAGTTGCCCTCACCGGTAAGGGAGTGATAGTGGACGTCCGTGTCTTGCTTGTCCTCCTGTTGTCCCTTCAGCCACCTATGTGTCCCATCCAAAGACAGAGTGAGAGAGAACACTTGGAAACAAGGATCGTTAGCTGCAATAACATGCTCTAATATTAGGAGTAGTGGGACTTAGTTACATACATTTATGTAAGGGGAGGTCACTGTGACCATATTCCAGCAGACGGGATTTAGGCTTAACCTGCTGGAACTTGGCCTGGTCATGGGGGACAAACAGCTGCCTCATTCAGTCAGTATCCGCTCAGATAGGGGCTGGATGGAGAATCCGGTTGCATGACAACTACATGAGAGCCAAAATATGACAACTATGAGACCCACCAGAACTGGAAAATAGGTTTTGGGTTCTGAAAATCCATGTCTGAAACCTCAACACTTTCTAGTATACTTCCAAGCATTGAATGTAGACATCTCTACATCATACATATAACTAAGACACTGCCAGTAGCTAAACTATGGCGTCATTTAATCCAGTTACCGTAGTTGTTTACTCTACCAAGGAAATCTGAGAAGTAGAATTCGTCTGTTGACACATCACTTACCTTCAACCAACTGAAGGACTTCTCAATGCCTAAACTTTGCAGCTATTTAAAATATTGCCGCAATTTTAAGGCCACGTTCAATACTAAAATATATTGTCAGAGGTCTATACTTGAGTTCCCAGTCTTATCTTCCTGCTGCAACCATTACAACCCGGGAAGGTCTCACTCTCTCAGTTACAGAGAACTATGGGGTCAGTGTTTTTCCCCATAGTTCTCTTAATTGTCACGGGAGGACACAAACTAGCGTCCTCCCGTCACCCAAAGCTCAGTATATTGCGAGCTACAGCTCACTGTATACTGAGACCGCCGCAGCCGGGACGGATCCCGACAATGCTGTCTGGGTCCACCCAGCTGCGTGATTGACAGCTGGCTCTGCCTATCTAGAGGCAGAGCCAGCTGTGCCCTCCCCAGTCTGTTCTTCCAGTCAGCGCTGGAGCATTGGAGCGGGAAATCCCTGTGGGGAGCGGTGAGTGACAGTCACGGCTCTCTGCTGGGAGATGATCGAGAAGTGAGCGAGTGACGGTATGTGTTCGCTCACTTTGCGATCTATTAAGCCGACCTGTGACAGTTTCATTGTCACAATTCGGCTCGAACTATGCGGCTGAGTGATTTTCACTCCCCTCATAGTTCTCCTTTAATGTTACATTACAGGAAGAAGGAGACAACACAAAGCTAGCCTTGGGGGTAACGTTTTCTCCAGGGGTCCAGGACCCAAAGGGTTCATGAGCAATACAATATTAGTGCTGGGTGAATGTTAACAAGTTGCATCACCCAACAGCTTCCTATTATCTGTAAAGTTTACTTCATTATTTCTTTTCCAGTTAAGGTTCAGCTTCCGGAGTACCTACTGATTTTATATGATGGGCAGGACCTAATATCTGGAAAGCCAACATAGGCCGTAGTGTAGTGTGGTAGGGCTTTCTATGAGAGGCACAGCCAAACAGTGCAATGTAGCTGGCTCTATGTCATTGTGCTTGCACAGTCTATGCATATACATCAGCGGGCTAATATTCTATGTTTTACCTGATCTGGGTCCATACACTCCTGAAGAAACTGCCATTGGTTTGCTCCACTCTTCTAAGCATTGGTTTCAGTCCAGGGGAGTAAATAGAAATCACAGGGCCCCATATGAAAATTTTGTATGGGGCTCTATGATTTCTAGTTATGCCCCTTGCAGAGCCCACCTGAGATCCCAAACAGCCTACCTGAGAGTGACCCTGCATCCCCCCCTCCTCCCCCCTGCTGCCCCTGCCCCAGCCTCCTCCTCCGCAGCTGCTGGCTGTCACTGGCCGGTGTGAGGAGGAACGCACCGCTGCACAGATCACTGACAGCTTGTCAGTGATCTAAACAATGGCGCATTCCTCCTCACACCGGCCAGTGACAGCCAGCAGTCTGAGATGCCATAGCAACCCAGACATCCCGCATGGCAACAGGGGGACCCCTTTGTTCCTTGTCCTGGCCGGGCCTCCCTGTGCCCCATAGCGGCCGTTTGGGTGGTTATGGCGATTGTTCTGCCACTGTTCTTGTCATTGGTTCTAGTTTCTGATGCCGAAGTGGGCAAACTGACCTCAGGCTTGGTGTGCCTTGTACGTCTATGTCATCTAAGGCTGTTAGTGTGATACTAAGGCTAACCAGTCGACAAGGGTAGAAGGGTTGGCCAAGGTGAAGGGGGGAAGGATGTATAAAACTGGACCTGAAATTGGGGCTTTGGTTTTGAAATGGTTGCAGCTGGAGGATGAGTCCAAGAACTGAGGAGGGTTGTCCTTGATGTGTAAAAGATCCCATCATGCTTCTCCTACGTTCTCTTTTCAATACAACTATAACACTCCTACACTTCAAGCCACCGACACTCACAAAATCTCAATATAAACTGGCTGTTTATATCCTTCTAGCAGTGAAGCAGGCAATAGCCCAAGCCTGGAGAAAGCAATTTGTTTCTTTCGCGGATGTGCACCGTAGGATAGATTCGTTTTTCATAAACGAGAAACTCTCTAGTATCCTTTTGGACACCCAAAAGAATTTCCAAAAAATCTGGACCCCTTGGATAGCTTACGCACACCCTGAGCTTCCGTTGGAGAGTCTCACATACTTCTAGGACTATCAGAGTCCCTGGTGCATTTCCCCTTCCTACCCCCTTCCCCCTTCCTAGTGTGTCCCTACTGTCCCCTGTCCCCCCCTATTCTTAATAACTTCTGTTATATCACAGTTTAGCGATGCTTTCGGCTCTGGAGCACAGGGACGGTAGCCCGGACGGGTCCCCTTGTGGTCCAGGGCTCGACTTTGGAGTAACAGCTCCTTGAGATGACTTATTTACCTGATATAAATAACTACCTAGCTTCCCTGTGAGGATGCACTTTGCGTATCAAACAACGAGCTCACCACACAATGTCTGGACTCTGCTTCTTGACTGTATATTATTTTTGTCAGCTTAAAGTGACATTAAACCCTCAGATATTTTAACATAAACCAGTACTGTAATGTGCGCCTTACTGTAATCCATGGTTGTTTCCCTTCTCTTTGCTGCTCTTCCTTTTAAATCCTCATGTCTTCTCATGCTGGGGGAGAACTTCCCTTTGCAGCTGAGTGCCTCTTCCTGTAGTGCTGGCTCAGGCTACAAGTCTATAGAAACGTATACACGTATCCATTCCAGAGACAAGGCAGTCTGCTGCAAAACAGAAGTCCTGCCCAGCATGAGAAGAGATACAGATTTAAAAGGAAGAGCAGCAAAGAGAAGGGAAACAACCATGGATTACAGTAAGGCGCACATTACAGAATTGTTTTATGATAAAAAATCTGAGGGTTTAATGTCACTTTAACTTGAACTGTTGTTATCTCAGCCACGCTATGTAAAACCAATAAAATACTTTGGAATTGTAAAAGATCTTATCATGGGGGTCAGCTGACCAGCTCTGAGCGGACTGACCCCTTGATGACAATGATATGCTCTGCAATATTCCTGTAATACTTTTTTTGTGACATAAACATTTCTATATTCATAAAATAGACATTTGTGAGCAACATACCGATAACATGCTACACACACAAAGCAGAACAAAGCACACAGACATAGACCCGCATGCCCCACACAGGTTAGGAAGTGGAGAGTTGTTAGTGAAGACATGAATAAAAGGAGAATGAGAGGAAATGTGGCATGCAGTATACACTATTGATGCATCATCTTCACCTTCACAGCCAGCTTTTTCTCCGCAGATAACCTCTTTGTTACTGAAAGGTCCACAAAGGTGTTTAGAACTTGTCCATGTTGCCCAGACATGAGGGAAGCAGCCATTGCGTGTTCTAAGGGATTCTTCCATGAATTAACTCAGTGAATTGAAAAGTTTCATTAGGAATGATGGCCCTTCTCTGTCTGTGTTGATCCAGAAGCCCGTGATATGCAACTTCCTCTCCTCCTGCTCTCTGCATTCTTGGAACCTCAGGATTCAAGAGGAGGCAAGGAGCCTACACAGTGTGTCCCAGTATGAACAGCAACTGAGTTCCAAGATCACCAGATTATGGACACAAGTAACTTGGGGGGGGGGGCTGGTACAGCAAAGCAATACGTAGATAGAGATGCCACCTGTCCAGGATTCACCCGGACAATTCGGGTTTTGAGTGCTGTGCCCTGGTTTCATGGCAGCAGAAACCCGGACACAAGATGTCAGGCAGAAAGGGGCAACCAAAATTAAGATAGGGGCTACTGGCCCCCCACTGAAAATAGTCTCATCTGTGATATTTACATAGGAATGGGTGGCGCTATTTACATATGAATAAGCAAGCACTCATTCTCCCCAAAAAAATGTCCAGGCCTCGCTTGAGTGTTCGCGTTTCGCTTCAAAAAAAAGGTGGCAACCCGATATTTAGATGACAAATTAAAATACTGAACAGGTGGGCTGTGCTTTGTGTGTGCATCCCAAGGCTTAAAGTACTACCATAGTCTCCTGTATGATAGTCTTAAAGAGCCCTGAGGCAAGTTACTATGTGATGGTCAAACCTCATAAAATAAACTTCCTTTACCCCCCCCCCCCCCAC